ACTTTGACGACAAGAAGAATGGAATGAAATGAAATCCCTTTTCATTTTTTTTACGGTTAAATTAAACATCAGTCTATGTTAAGGACAAAAATTCCACGACAATATTGTTGATAGAAAGACCAGACAATTCAAATTACATTTTCACGTCCCAGGAGGCAACGGCAACGCCATGTTTTTTTTTTTTAGGGGGGGGGGGGTCAAAGTGGTGGTTGCAGATAATAATGTTCAAATTTGAAAGTTTTAGACTCGTTACTGTGAGATGTTTTACCCCCGTGGTTCATAGCTGCTATCTATCCCACCCCACACACCCCGCTAGTTGAAATATTGTTTGCACTTTCCCCCGAAAGGACATCTTGGCAGACTTTAGGACCGTGATAAGATGCGCAATCTTAAGCAACTCCATGGTTGGAAGGTTGCCTTTGGGGCGAATCCTGAAAATGGATATAAATAATAGCATATGATACATCCGTAGCATACATTACGTGCCAAAACTAAAAGTAATATAATTTCTGCTCCATGAACGAGTGCCTGCGTTTTCAACGATGCACAGGTCCAGCCAATGTAATGGGCATATGTTGGAAATGGGTCACCCAGCGGAGGAAAAATTCGATATAGCTGAGTGTGATTTTCGCGTAAACGTAAGTGATTTAATGATCGAGAAAGGAATCATGTTTAAAAAAAGGGTTTCAGAACAATTGGTAAAAGAGATTTCATAAGAGATTTCATAAGTAACACAGTTAAGCTGTCTTTTTTTACCAAATTTCGTCGTTGCTAGAAGTGTACAGTTTCAAAGGAATGGCAAATGTGATGGATCAAAAGATTTTTCTACCATAAAAATCAAGCCCTTATTCTCCAGATGGCGCTGCATTCGTTTGAAAAATGACTAGACGAACATATTTCAAACTGAACATCCTTCAAACTGAGAATCTTTTAAAATGAACATATATCAAACTAAAAATCTTTCAAATTGAACATCTTTTAAACTGATATCTTTCAAACTGGACATCCATTAAACTGAACAGCTTTCAAACTGAACATCATTCAAACTGAGCTTTTTTAAACAGAACATCTTTCAAACTGAACATCTTTGAACTGAGCATCTTTTAAACTGACTATCTTTCAAACTGAGCATCTTTTAAACTGAATATCTTTCAAGCTAGACATATTTCAAACTGAACATCTTTTAAACTGTACAATGGACAATGCTTGATGTAGTCAGATATGTCAGTCAGGAAGAGGCATTGTGTACATTTCTGACTATGGTGTACGAGGATCCAGATTTTTTAAAGAAGTGTGTCACATTATCAGACTTTCACTTCTCTGGCAGAGTATCCACCCAGAACCTCGTTACGTGGTGACAGAGTACCCACCCAGAACCTCGTTACTTGGTGACAGAGTACCCACCCAGAACCTCGTTACTTGGTGACAGAGTACCCACCCAGAACGTCGTTACTTGGTGACAGAGCGCCCACCCAGCACCTCGTTACTTTGTAACAGAATTGGATGACTTGTTGCCGTCTATTAAATAGTAAAAAAAATCTCTCTCAGAATCGTTCTGCAACTTTTTTTATAACGCGTTTGCCTTTTAAGTTCACTAACGTATGCGCGGAAATAAAACTTAAATATGAATTCTTTTTTTTCTAATCAGTTAAACTCATTAAAAAAAATGCTCAAAAGATAAGTCTTTTCACTTCTAAGGTCGCTTTTCAGGCGGAGTCATGAACCGTTGACAAACTCATCGGTGCGTTCAAGATGTGGGAGCTTCAGCACTGTTCAGCAATGTTCTGTCAGCACTGTTCAGCAAGGTTCGTTTTGGCGCACATTGTGTTTAGATTTACTGGGAGATATGACCTGTGTTAAAGGAAGGCTTATTGAACTCCCGAGAGCTGTTGTTTGATTACAGAAGATTTATAAGTGCAGCTGGTGTACGAGTACAGTTGGTTTATGAGTGATCGCAGTGTGTGAGTAACATTCGAGAATTCGTGCATGAAACATGTAAATAGACAATAGTTAAATCAGAGCTGTCATAGATATCCTTGATTTTAATTAGTGCCCTTCTATGCATATCCTGATTTAGTCAGAGCTCTTATGTTTATATCCTTGATTTATGCAATCTTTTCAGTTTTTGTGTTCAAGATATTTTTTTCCTTTATTATTTCAGATTCGTAAAGTTTAATATTTTCTGTTAACTATTTGTATATGTAAGAGATTTAGTTTATATACGTGATTTTATTTACATGTAAGGGATTTAATGTCGTATGTATAAATGGTTATTAAAAAGGTGATGGTCCAGAATTGACAAGTAAACAAAATATAATAATTCTTTGACAGTACTAACACGGTGGATGTTTTAATTAAATGTTATTGGCTATGTATAAATATTATACATATTTAGTATTTTCATTTAAGTCTATGAATATCATTCTACTGATTCTTACCTGTCTCATAGAAAAATATACAGTATGTTAATTTGGCTAACAGCTTAGATTAGTGGTTCTCAACCTTTCTAGTGCCGCGAACCTTTAATACAGTTCCTCATGTTGTGGTGACCCCAAACCATAAAATTATTTTAGTTGCTCCTTCATAAATATTATGTTTTTTCCGATGGTTTTAGCCGACGCCTTTGCACGGGTCGTTCGACAACCAAAGGGATAGCGACCCTCAGATTGAGAACCCCTAGCTTAGATGCAAGGGACATTTTAATATTTTAAAACAAGACGGATATTTGAAATACCAGTTTCGCCTTCAAGTTGAGTAAAGTTTAAAAATTGAGCAAATAAAAAGAAAACAAAGAGAGCTTGTGAACTCACTTCCTTTTTGATTTATGCAACAATGCAGCCGTGGGTGGACAACAATGTCCCCTATTCATTAAATGTTAACAAAAAAATGGAATTTGAATGAAAACCGTTGTTTTTAAGTATGTGAAGTGTTGCAACATAGTGGAGACGTTAAAGTGGTTTTGGTAATACGATTAAGGGGTTAAGTTAAACTAGGTTTTGGTGAGACAATACAGGGGTGAAGTTAAAGTAGGTTTGGTGAGACAATACAGTTGTGAAGTTAAAGTAGGTTTGGTGAGAAAATACAGATGTGAAGTTAAAGTAGGTTTGGTTAGACGTTACAGGGGTGAAGTTAAAGTAGGTTTGGTGAGAAAATACAGCTGTGAAGTTAAAGTAGGTTTGGTTAGACGTTACAGGGGTGAAGTTAAAGTAGGTTTGGTTAGACGTTACAGGGGTGAAGTTAAAGTAGGTTTGGTTAGACGATACAGGGGTGAAGTTAAAGTAGGTTTGGTGAGAAAATACAGCTGTGAAGTTAAAGTAGGTTTGGTGAGAAAATACAGGGGTGAAGTTAAAGTAGGTTTGGTTATACGATACGGGGGTGAAGTTAAAGTAGGTTTGGTGAGACGATACAGATGTTTCAGGGGAGGGCATGTGGAAGTAGGGAACAGAGCGAAGATGCAATCGCAAGTGTCCATCAAGGACTTCGTACAACTGAAAATACAATAGACGGACCCAACAACCCGGAGATCTGGCTCCATTATAATAAGTAGCCCCCCCCCCCCTTACAATGGCTCTGACTAAACAAGGTGAAAAGCGTAGTCTACTCTTCAAGGATCGGGCTATAAAAAGATATGATGAGTGGAGTGAGGACATGCGCAGTCCACCAAGTCACGTGACCGCCTGTCAGATAAATTTGAGACCGTCAGCTCCTCTCTCGTTCATTAAGTCAAGAAGGGGCAGCTTTTTGTTCACCTTTATCCACGTCCAGGTCTGTGATTTTTTTTATATTTTACATGATGAGAGAAATGTTACCGGTCTGAAACTATTAAATCAATGTTTTTACATTATTTTAAATGTTAAAAAAAAAAGAAGTATTTATGTTTATTTATGATGATATGAAGCGGAACGATAGAAACGTGGTAATAAAATAAGTTCTGTAGGTACACATTTTGGACTTCAAGAAAAATTTACAATATTCTGTTATGTTTCAAATTATCCCGTTTCTCAGGATTTATCTAATCCCGGGAGTATAATTTTACTCATCCCAGTAACCCGGGATTTCCAGGGATATCCCTGGTTAAAATAAAGAAAAAAAATAAAGCCACTGAAGGAATTAGACTGTAAAAGCGTTCATTTTTAGAGTTGTTTAAATGTTATTTTCTGTTTATGGATAACAAAAATTGTCCGGATTAGTTGCGAGGTGGGTCACCTGCTCACACTTGCCTCATTTTCCCACGGCTTATCTCTAAGGAATGAATAACTAGCTAGAAATATGCTTGTTCAAATGTTCAGTGAAAGACAGATATGTAAAAAAACAAACATAACATAGCACTTTAAATTCTGTACAGGTTTAAATTCTTTACAGCAATTAACAACAATGGTTTACTTTAGAAAAAAAACATTCATTGTTTGACACATGAAGTATTGGGTTACTCAAGTTACCAGAACACACGTGTCAACACACAGTAGCTGACCTCAACACGGATTGCAAAGGGCATTCTTGTGGGCTCCCCGGCTGAAACAATAGATTAAGAGCATTAGTGATTTTTAAAAGTTTTATTTTTTAAAATTTGTCTTAAAGTTTGTTACTATTCAAGTTATGTCATTAAATATGTTACATTATGCTAAAAAATTATAGTTTAAAAAAATTCCATTTCCAAGAATTTCCCCCGTTTAAAAGCCTTTTCCCAATATATCGTTGCAAGGGTCACTTTGCTTCTATATGAATGCGTTCGTGACCTTAAAACATGTGCATTAGAGTTACCGGGCGTACTAAAAAATAGAACTTAGCTGAGAAGTAGTAGCTATGAGCTATTTTTTTCATTTAATTCTGTTATTTTTTCTGTAGTTTCTTCGCTGACGAAGGCTTCCTGCCGACACGTTCGTAAGTTTGTTGCGTTTTCTTTTTCAGAATTGACCTTAATTTGTTTCACTATTTCCATTTTTACTAATTCAGAGCAGTTAACTCTATTTCACAGGTATCGTCTTAAAGTTTAGGACAACAAACAATCAAACAAGAAAATTCTCTTTAAAGGTGCGACCATTTCTCAGGAAGTCTTTTGTTTAATAAATACCGTGCGGGATACCGGGAGAGATAAATTAATTTAATACCAATGTATTTTTTAAAAAATTAATAGGAAAAGAACTGAAGAAAAACTGAACGAAATCAAATGGTATAGAGGACGCAACAAACTTTGTATAATTGCAGATATGGCGTTCCAGCGTCTTGTGGGTTTCTTCGTTTGTCTTCTGCTCATTGTGAAAGCGGAAGGCAGGTGGACTTCACAAAGTCTAATCACAGTAGCCTTCCCTACGGCCGTGACTAACTTTACTGTAGAGGATTTGCCAAACTTGAGGGAGTAAGTTGACCATGCACATTTCACTGATACGTTATGTAAATAAATGTTTATTATCCCCCATTATTGCTCACAGTGCGATACTCCATTGCTGAACATACAAGCAGATGAACAAGAATAATGTATGGCCTAAAATAAGCTTGAGAAATGAATTTAATGAGATTTGTGTTCTCTACACATAAGCTGATGATCGTCACAATGCATACAGATGTAATTAGAAGTTATCCAACCAGGTGTAATTAAAAGTTATCCACCAGGTGTAATTAAACGTCATTCATCCAGGTGTAATTTGAAGTTATGCATTCAGATGTAATTAGAAGTTATGCATCCAAGTGTAATTAGAAGTTATGTTTCCACTCAGTTTTTGCCTTTATATCTCAATTTAAAAGTAAATAAAAGTCTATTTTTTAAACTGTTACGAAATACCAAGAGCGCACCTTGCGGTCGGTAGGACCAAATGGTCAGTGCCAGACGACTGACCACCTGTGGAGGCGGGGGGTTAGTTTCAATCCCGCCTCACCCATTAGCCTACCCAGTGGTGCATATGTGGTGACTTCCGCGCGCGCCACCTTGGAGTTTAAATTTAGGTCTCACATTAAATGAATAGGCGTGTGTTGTGTGCTCACCCTGAGATGAAAAGTAAGCATTCAAAAAATAATAAATCAGACTGCATTGTGTTAATGAGTACTTCCCTGACATCCAAAGTAACCCACCATCTTTTGTTTGGCTTCCAATTTGCAATGCAACAAAAGGTTTACGTGCATAATATGTCCGACAGAACAATAATTTTGAAAGACCCGGGGCTCCATATTCAACTACACTTTGTAGGCTAAACTGATAAATACACATTCCGCGAACGCGTGTTCGATTGTAACAGGGTGCAACCTATATGAATAAGGACCACTGATCTGGGTGTCACTTTTTCTCAACCTGTGGGTCGCGACCCTTTTGGGGGTCAAACGACCCTTTCCCAGGAGTCGCCTAAGACCATCTGAAAACACATATGCTCTACAGTTATGAAGTGGCAAAGAAAATAATTTTGTGACTGGGGGTCGCCACAACATGACGAACTGTATAAAAAGGTCGCGGCATTGGTAAGGTTGAGAACCACTGCTTTAGCACATACACACCCACTGTGTGCTGGACCCTACTTCTTGGCTGGTCAGTCCTGCACGGCGACTGACATCTCGTGACCAACACGTGACGCCAATGTCATTGTTTCCCGGTGGGTGCTAAATTAGGCAGGTTCCATATAACCCGATCATTTATGGAATTTTGAAATGATAGAGACGACTGATAGAGGGCAAACTTAGTAATTGCAATGAACGATCTCTTTCATTATTGAGACACATGAGCCTAAGTAGTGTTTCAAATTAACAACTTATCAAGCTCATTGAACGTGCTCCTTAAAAAGGATATCGCGACAGTTAGACCTACGAACACGCGCCATGTCTTTTACAGAGCCACGTGCGCATGCGTTTCAGACGAGCATTTATGATTTATATTGTAATAGTTGAAGATGCTGAGCCGCGCCAAGTTTCACATAAAACCAGATACCAATCAGCGCTTACTCTTTATTGAGCTCCCGCTAGACGTACAGCCGTGCGCTAATTCTTACATCACCCTCGTGTTAACGGGCCTGTGTAGTCCTACCAGTCACATCATTGCAGTCACATCATTGCAGTCACGTCATTGCAGTCACATCATTGCAGTCACATGCTGCCCCGTGAATAAGTCTGACGTAGACACCACGTATGCGACCATGTCATTGCGATCGCCAAAAATCTAGAATTGTATTTTTAACTGGGTGATCGAGTACCCCATTGTCTCCGTGCTTAAAATAGGTACGGGATATTTGTTACTAAGGAATGTTTTACAAATGTAATTGACGCTTTCTCATCTCGGGGTGCAAAACTCTGCACCTTTCACGAAAGCTCAACCCTGTAACATACATCTGTTTTATAGGATTATTTTAGATGCCCTTTGGATACCAATCTCAAATCTACCATTTTAGCTACTCATCGTTTCTGTTCAAACGTTATTATCCAAGTTGGTTATTGCTACTTAGGTAAAAGGTAAAAGAGGTTATTGCAGTTATGTTGGTTGTTCATACTTGGAACATTTTTTTATATAGAGTTGACCAGTATGTCTCTTTGAAACTTAGATGTTTGTCGTACTCAAAATAACATGTAATATATATGAATCTTTTCGGATATTGTCCTTTCGCTTTCCATGACTTTACCCTACTCTTAATTATTTATGCCTTTTACCCCACCCGGAGCAAACGTCTACAAAAAAGTGTCCACTCATTTCAGTCCTGTGCTTTTCTTTCAAGTTGCCTCCAGGTGTATCCCATACTTTGTGTGTCGGTCTCTAGCTCGCCTCTCCATATATTCTTTGGCATTCCTTTCTTTCTTTTTTTCCATGTGGATATTCCATGTCAGGGAATGTCTGGTGATATTATCTGAAGGTTTGCGGAGATAAGCCCGAACCACCCACATATTTTCCTTACGATGTCTTCAGCAATAGGCTCCATGTATATTCTTTCCATTAAGTCTTTATTGGTGATGGTGTTTGGCCATTTCATGTGTAGGATCTTTCTAAGGTAAGTGTTTAGGAATGTCTGTACTTCCTGCTTAATGCTCGCTGTTATCATCTTAGAGCCAATAAAAACCTATAGCTCACAGTTTCTTGAGGTTCTATGTAATTATCTAAAGCTGTTAGTCACTCACCACTCGGTCACATAAGCATTTCAATGTGATACACATTTATCGAGTTACATAATCTGATTAATTCATGAAGCACGCAACCAGGCATACTACAGTTTTTAATTGAAACTCTTTATGCCCCTATTGCAATTTTGTTGTGACAGATCTCTGCTTAAATTCGTGTCCTTGCAGGTTATTTGATCACCTAATTCCATGCACTGGAATGTTTGGAACAAATTCAGCTGATGTGTCGATTAAGGGAAGATGCGATGAATTTAAGGAAGGCGATTATTCGTATTTTACAGAATATGTCAAAAAGTTTTTATCAACACCCGTGGCTGCAGCAGGCATCAACTTTATCGAGCATGATGAGTTCGATTTCATGCAAGTTCACTACGCTACATACAAAACCAGGTGTATCGCTCTTCTTCAAACTCCTTTAAATTTCGATTTTTCAAGACTCCCCCTCCCTGATGATGTAGTGGGAAGGATACTACGCTGTAAATCTCGATGTTGCTACCGGCTTCTGAATAAAAGAAATAATCAACCAATTGAGATTCCGAAATTTCAAACTGCATCCATGTTCAGCTTCTCAAGGACCAACGAGCAAACTACGAGCCAAGGGTATCCCAAATCGATGACTTTAGAAAATAGTCACGCAAAATCTCTAAGAGAAAATGATCAGAGCTTCATATCAATAACCGTTGGAGTCATCGCGGTCATTCTCTCAGCTATGCTTGTTATTGTCGTAATCGTATGTTATCGACGAAGACGAAACGAAAAACTATTGACGGTCACACAGCAAAGAACACAAGAAAAAATCACCGACAGCTCTGATAATCTTGGTGTGTTACAGCCCTTTGCCAGACAGGCAACTGAAGACAACCCATATTGTGCTCTAGACCAAGACAGCAGAATAAGCTGTCACGAGTATGTCCCTCTGTCGGTAAAGAAATCTAAATTGTTGGCTGTAAAACCCAAACAAGGCAAGCCATCGCCCATAGCTACAGGTCCATCAACGATTAGTGGCACAAATGCTGCCATCAGTAGAATCAACTCTGGTCAACAAGGTGCTTCTTCGGATCAAAACAGTTCAGAATACATTCACGTCCTTGATGACTACACTTACATTCTTTGCGACAATGGTGGAAGGTATACGAATGTTTCGGACAGTGGCGTAGCTAAGGGGATGCGGGGGGGGGGGGCACCGGGTAACATCATCTAAGGGGGTGACACCAAATTGAAAATTCTATATTTACAGAACATACGCTTCTTGGTCTAACAGAATTTCATAAAATGATAACTGATCACACATGCATTTTCCTTCCAAACATGTAACCAATCCAAATGATAATATCCTTCACCATGATTTTGATCAACTGATTAACAGGCTTGCAGCTTTGAAGACCAGGGGAGGAAAAATTTAAATCAAGTAAATTTAATGTCAAAATAACTATAGTCCAAATGATTGGGCATTCAAAGAAAGAAGCCTTTCTGTGGCGCAAACCAACCAATCGACAAGCCAACGAACACCAACCAACAAAAGAACAGTTACGAACAAACTCACATTTTGATGTTTACAGTAACATATATATTGTTTTAGAACTTCACATTTCTGGTGTACGATCACTTGTGTATATAAAATAACAGTTTTGTATTGAAATAACTTCAATAAATATTCATGACTGAGTTGTTTTTTTTGCGTGTGAACATCTGTTCATTCTCTATCTTTAAAGCAAAATAAGAACTACACCAACACTATATACCAACACACTATACACCAACACACTAAATACCAACACACTATACACCAACACACTATACACTAACACACTATACACTAACACACTATATACCAACAGAATATACACCAACACACTATGCACCATCACACTATACACCAACACACTATATACCAACACACTAATACACCAACACACTATACACCAACACACTATATACAACACACTATACACCAACACAGTAATACATCAACACACTAATACACCAACACACTAATACACCAACACACTAATACACCAACACACTAATACACCAACACACTAATACACCAACACACTAATACACCAACACACTAATACACTGCCAAACTAATACACCAACACACACATACACCAACACACTAATACACCAACACACTAATACACCATCACACTAATATACCAACACACTATACACCAACACACTATACATCAACACACTATATACAACACACTATACACCAACACACTAATACACCAACACACTAATAGACCAACACACTAATACACCAACACACCATTACACCAACACACTAATACACCAACACAATAATAAACCAACTCACTAATACACCAACACACTAATACACCAACATACTAATACACCAACACACTAATACACCAACACACTAATACACCAACACACAAATACACCAACACACTAATACACCAACACACTAATACACCAACACACTATACACCAACACACTAATACACCATCGCACTATACACCAACACTATATACACCAACAAAAAACAGCTGGGGAGAGGGTGTAAATTCTTAAACCTTGCTGCAGGCGGAAGGCTGCGTGCACAAATGCAACCTGGATCTGAATGGTGATGACGATGAAAGGTAACAGGAGTTTTATGATTCCATTCAAACTTAAAAACTGATGGAATTTATTATTAGTTAATTTGTTTGTTTGCAGCTTTCTGTTTCTGCCGACAACCGCATGGAAAGCGATTTGTGACGATGTAAGCCTACAGGCCGAAAGAAGATCAAAATTTCGAACATAAATTAACAAGCACTTATAAAGATATTTTGTTTAGATTTTCACAAGAGATTCGTCAAGAAATTGTGGGCTGTAATGACATGTAGATGTTATTGTAGATGAAAATTTAGATGGAAATGTTAATGTAAATGCTTTCATAAAAATAGATGTAAATGTAGATGAAAAATATATGCACGAAGAATTTTTGAGCGCAATAAAAGCTTAGCTTTATGATTGTCCTTTGGCTAACACACACACATTGGCAGATTCACGAACATTCTGTTTATTTACTAATTGCTTCTTATTTTCTATATGCATATGTTTTATTCTTTCAATAAATTTGCACGATCATCATCATTCTCGCTGAACCTACAAATAGCACCATCGCTGCAAATAGACTTTAATTGAGGCCCCAAAAGCGCCACGTCTTGTATTTTTTTTACAGGTTTCGCTCTGCAACAATTTGTGTATAAAAATATATTATTTGATCCCACACATGTCAGAGCTAAACCCAAATGAGCTGTATCCAATACATAAGAGCAACAATGGATCATAGAATAATGGATACTAAAGTTGTAAATAATATGATACAAGTGTATTTGTCTCTTTCTGTTCTTTATATATATATATATATATATATATATATATATATATATATATATATATTGTTTATATAGTATTTTTATGGGTGTATTGTGTGTGTTGTTCTGTTTTAGGTGTGCAGTTTATATTATTATATAAGTTTTTTTTTATTTTTCTCTTTTTTTTATTTATATATATATATATATATATATATATATATATATATATATATATATTGTTTATGCAGTACTGTTAAGGTTGTACTGTTTGAGTTGTGCTGTTTTAGATGTGCTGATTATAATATTGAATAATTGTTTTTCTTAATAAGAAGAATTATGAAACAAAAGTATATTAAAAAAATAAATTTTAAGATCCCGTGGAAGGACGTGAGTCTCTTAACGAACTAACCGGTAGCAGGGCGTAAGAAGAGGACCATGTATGCTGAGCGTTTTTTTTTAAAAATAGTTTTTCCTCGTTTTGATGAATGGTGTCTACACATTACCTTGGCATGTCCATACTTATCAAAGGTTTACCATAGTGACCAGTGGTCAGTGAACTATTGGACTCGGGGTGGATAAATGGTTTAACCTTCACGTCGCTGACTAGAGGAAACAGAGACGTTAAAGTAAACCCCCTTTCGACTTTTAAAACAACATAAAAAAAAAAAAAAAAAAAAAAAGAAATATATATAAATATTATTGCCCACTAAATCAACACCTGATTAATTCATCATAGAATCCAAGACAAATGTCTTGACAGAAAAGTAAAAAAACATTCATATTACATTTTTAACTGACAGGAGGTCATGAGATTATTTTGTTCTTTGTGGGTTAATGCCCAGTTCACAAGGTCAAAGTTTCGTTCACACATTTGATGCAAAATTGTGTATGAACCCTTGTCACCACTTTCAAATTACTATTTAATAAAATTCTCATTTTTTTGCCCCCCTTTCCCCAAACACACAAAAAAAAAAAAACGCACAAAATAGTGCATTGATACAAAAAGTTGACGAAAAATTGATAATGTGAACTGAGCGTAAGTGGTGAATGAACATAAGTTTTGTGAAAGAAGAACAAAGTATATAACTTTTGACCTTACATCAACCACATGTCATCTGAATCAACGGTCGCCATCCGGTGTCCGCAGAAAAATCTGGATATTTTTCACATTTTTGTGTTTTTGAAGCACAATGCAAAGATAACGCAGTTCGTCATGGTTCGTATCTCGCATCTAAATTCGTATATAAAGACGTCAAAATAGAATGTGAAAAAAAGTTCGTATCTCGAATCTAGGTTATTATATAAAAGAGATAAAAATGGAATATAATAAAGAGTTCGTATTCCGAATAGTTCTTATGTAGAGTTACCACTGTATTTTATCTAAGAAAAGGTTCGTTGACTGATAAAGTTTATGAAATCCTGATCGTAATTTTCTTTACCTTCTGCCAGACAAACTGTTGAAAAAACAAAATTGTCTTTCACGAGATTAGAAATCCAAAGCCGATCTCTTTTTGGGGATTCCATTTGTGCAAACCATTACATTACGTGGAGTTCCATGTGTGCAAACCATTACATTACGTGGAGTTCCATGTGTGCAAACCATTACATTACGTGGAGTTCCATGTGTGCAAACCATTACATTACGTGGAGTTCCATGTGTGCAAACCATTATATTACGTGGAGTTCCATGTTTGCAAACCATTATATTACGTGGAGTTCCATGTGTGCAAACCATTATATTACGTGGAGTTCCATGTGTGCAAACCATTATATTACGTGGAGTTCCATGTGTGCAAACCATTCCACCACCGGGCCAAAAACAATCTCGGGAAAATATAGCAATAAATTCATGTTATTTGCAAAACGATCATTAAATAAAATGTGCATGCTTTATTTATTTATTTTTTGTGGGGGGGGGGGGGGGGGGTTTGTAAGGTGACCATTTAAATAACGAACACATAAATTAAAAAAAAATTTTTTTAAAATATAGCAATAAATTCATGTTATTTGCAAAACGATCATTAAATAAAATGTGCATGCTTTATTTATTTATTTTTTGTGGGGGGGGAGGGGGTGGCTTGTAAGATGACCCATTAAATAACGAACTCATAAATTAGAAAACAATTCTTTTGTTCTAGCATCACATCTTTGGGCTCTGTAGTATCGAAGCCTCCATATTATGTGCAGAGAAAGGACGAACTGGTTTTGCGTTTAGTATACATTTTTGAGAATGTATTGTGGTAAGTAATATTTAGGGCTGCACTGTCAAGTTAACGTTACCATCTTAAGAAAAAGATCTCGGGTAATAGTTTTTACAATTTTTGAAGAATAATTGATATGTAACGCGTGAGTCCGCCCCTGTGAGTTTAAACAAGATTCTCCTCTGTCAGTTTAAATAGGTATAGATACGCCTCTGAAAGTTTAATAAAAAGATTCTCCTCTGTCAGTTTGGATAGGTATAGATACGCTTCTGAAAGTTTAAAAAAAAAGATTCTCCTCTGTCAGTTTGGATAGGTATAGGTACGCCTCTGAAAGTTTAAAAAAAGATTCGCCTCTGGACAGTGTAAAAATAGGTCTCAGATTTTCCCCAGTACCACATGAGTGCCCACGCCACTCTTAGTTTCGGTGGTCTTGTCTGCGAGGTCACGATGAGACCAGTTACCCCTGTCTCTAACAGGTCGTCTTTGGTAGACGCAGGCATGTCGAGGGCGTAGTTTTAAGAAAGGAAGTGAAATAGGTAGAGCCTACCTGTGGTGAATTTTCGACTTTATTTGTTATCTTAAACTTCCTGGTTAAGATCAAGCGTTTGAGAAGTACAGGTAAGAGGCACATGTTCAAGGCAAAAACAAGTCACACAGTGGGGGGACACGGATCATTGGCAGTAGGATCATTGGCAGTAGGATCATTGGCAGTAGGATCATTGGCAGTAGGATCATTGGCAGTAGGATCATTGGCAGTAGGATCATTGGCAGTAGGATCATTGGCAGTAGGTTCATTGGCAGTAGGTTGACAGGTAGGTTCAGGTTAGTGTCTTTGGTTTTTTTTTTTGGGTTTGTTTTGGATAATGGTGTTGCGACTAATTGGATTCAGTTTCTTTTTGGATTATACATATAGACTTAATGGATTTAGTTCTTTGTTGGATTATACTGTTTAGAATTTATAGATTCAGCTCTTTGTTAGATTATACTGTATAGACTTTATAGATTCAGTTCTTGGTTAGATTATACTGTATAGACTTTATAGATTCAGTTCTTGGTTAGATTATACTGTATATAATTTATAGATTCAGTTCTTGGTTAGATTATCCTGTATAGAATTTATAGATTCAGCTCTTGGTTAGATTATACTGTATAGAATTTATAGATTCAGTTCTGGGTTGGATTATACTGTATAGACTTTATAGATTCAGTTCTTGGTTATATTATAATGTATAGACTTTATAGATTCAGTTCTTGGTTAGATTATACTGTATAGACTTTATAGATTCAGTTCTTGGTTAGATTTTAATGTTAACATTTTAGAGATTAAGTTCTCCGAAGCAGAGTCTGAACGTCTTTAGACTTGACTGAAGTTCGTGACAATATTACGGACAATCGGTGCTGGAACATTTTAAGTATTTTTTGTTCTTTATCACGTTGTCTTCATTTACTAGGTTACAGAGTGACGCAGACATGAGGTGTCTATTGACCAACACAGGAAGTTCAGAAATTGAATGTCTCTTAAAATGATTTTTTTTTCTGTTTACCAGGTGAACGAATGGTAAGGACACGCATATTGATCTACAGATGGCATTTAGACATCGACATGCTTTTTTATAATAAGTGTCTATTGACAGACAGGTGATGCTAAGTTGACACGCGGTAACGCAGGTATGATACAACAACAACAATAAAAACTGTAAAGACATTTTAATCGAACAAAAATTGTTACCCGTTAGGTCTTAAGTGTTATATCTGTGAAGAATCCACAATTTATTTGTCTGTTTTTGCAGTTTTTAAATATAAAGACCCAAACTGTTTACCCAGCAAGTATCAGTTAAAACGGTTTACGCATCACAAGTATCAGTTAAAACTGTTTACGCATCACAAGTATCAGTTAAAACTGTTTACGCATCACAAGTATCAGTTAAAATTATTTACCCAGCAAGTATCAGTTAAAATTGTTTACCCAGCAAGTATCAGTTAAAACTGTTTACGCAGTAAGTATCAGTTAAAATTGTTTACCCAGCAAGTATCAGTTAAAATTGTTTACCCAGCAAGTATCAGTTAAAATTGTTTACCCAGCAAGTATCAGTTAAAATTGTTTACCCAGCAAGTATCAGTTAAAACTGTTTAACCAGCAAGTATCAGTTAAAATTGTTTACCCAGCAAGTATCAGTTAAAATTGTTTACCCAGCAAGTATCAGTTAAAACTGTTTAACCAGCAAGTATCAGTTAAAATTGTTTACCCAGCAAGTACCAGTTAAAATTGTTTACCCAGCAAGTATCAGTTAAAACTGTTTAACCAGCAAGTATCAGTTAAAACTGTTTACCCAGCAAGTATCAGTTAAAATTGTTTACCCAGCAAGTATGAGTTAAAACTGTTTAACCAGCAAGTATCAGTTAAAATTGTTTACCCAGCAAGTATCAGTTAAAATTGTTTACCCAGCAAGTATCAGTTAAAACTGTTTAACCAGCAAGTATCAGTTAAAACTGTTTACCCAGCAAGTATCAGTTAAAATTGTTTACCCAGCAAGTATCAGTTAAAATTGTTTACCCAGCAAGTATCAGTTAAAATTGTTTACCCAGCAAGTATCAGTTAAAATTGTTTACCCAGCAAGTATCAGTTAAAATTGTTTACCCAGCAAGTATCAGTTAAAACTGTTTACCCAGCAAGTATCAGTTAAAACTGTTTACCCAGCAAGTATCAGTTAAAATTGTTTACCCAGCAAGTATCAGTTAAAACTGTTTAACCAGCAAGTATCAGTTAAAATTGTTTACCCAGCAAGCATCAGTTAAAATTGTTTACCCAGCAAGTATCAGTTAAAACTGTTTAACCAGCAAGTATCAGTTAAAACTGTTTACCCAGCAAGTATCAGTTAAAACTGTTTACCCAGCAAGTATGAGTTAAAACTGTTTAACCAGCAAGTATCAGTTAAAATTGTTTACCCAGCAAGTATCAGTTAAAATTGTTTACCCAGCAAGTATCAGTTAAAACTGTTTAACCAGCAAGTATCAGTTAAAACTGTTTAAAAGTATCAGTTAAAATTGTTTACCCAGCAAGTATCAGTTAAAATTGTTTACCCAGCAAGTATCAGTTAAAATTGTTTACCCAGCAAGTATCAGTTAAAACTGTTTAACCAGCAAGTATCAGTTAAAACTGTTTACCCAGCAAGTATCAGTTAAAATTGTTTACCCAGCAAGTATCAGTTAAAACTGTTTAACCAGCAAGTATCAGTTAAAATTGTTTACCCAGCAAGTATCAGTTAAAATTGTTTACCCAGCAAGTATCAGTTAAAACTGTTTAACCAGCAAGTATCAGTTAAAACTGTTTACCCAGCAAGTATCAGTTAAAACTGTTTACGCAGCAAGTATCAGTTAAAACTGTTTACGCAGCAAGTATCAGTTAAAACTGTTTACCCAGCAAGTATCAGTTAAAATTGTTTACCCAGCAAGTATCAGTTAAACCTGTTTAACCAGCAAGTATCAGTTAAAATTGTTTACCCAGCAAGTATCAGTTAAAATTGTTTACCCAGCAAGTATCAGTTAAAATTGTTTACCCAGCAAGTATCAGTTAAAACTGTTTACCCAGCAAGTATCAGTTAAAACTGTTTACCCAGCAAGTATCAGTTAAAATTGTTTACCCAGCAAGTATCAGTTAAAACTGTTTACCCAGCAAGTATCAGTTAAAATTGTTTACCCAGCAAGTATCAGTTAAAATTGTTTACCCAGCAAGTATCAGTTAAAATTGTTTACCCAGCAAGTATCAGTTAAAACTGTTTACCCAGCAAGTATCAGTTAAAATTGTTTACCCAGCAAGTATCAGTTAAAATTGTTTACCCAGCAAGTATCAGTTAAAATTGTTTACCCAGCTAGTATCAGTTAAAATTGTTTAACCAGCAAGTATCAGTTAAAATTGTTTACCCAGCAAGTATCAGTTAAAACTGTTTACCCAGCAAGTATCAGTTAAAATTGTTTACCCAGCAAGTATCACTTAAAACTGTTTACCCAGCAAGTATCAGTTAAAATTGTTTACCCAGCAAGTATCAGTTAAAATTGTTTACCCAGCAAGTATCAGTTAAAACAGTTTACGCAGCAAGTATCAGTTAAGCTTAAAATTTAGGAAAATGAAAGTTAAAATAACAACAACAACAAAAAAAAAACCCACCTAAAGAAAGACGTGTCGTTTTCACAGCTTTCATCCATCAAACTACAAGACTTGAAAATACTTTTTTTTTTAAACACTGAAAGTCAAACCATCAAATAGTGTTATCGTAGTCTGCTAAGCCCTATCGCACCACAACAGTATTATAATAAACATTGTTTTATCTTTCTGGTTGAATATTGCTGCTTCCCCCATTGTATTATAGTTTTTAATAATGTCATATAAGTATTTGGTTGTTTTCTCATTTTAAAAAAATTAAAAAAAACATGCGTAGAGTCAAGAATGCATTTGGCTGTTTTTCTGATTGCACAAGTCGCCAGTTATGTGGCGTCTCTTCAGTGGGACACAGTCGAAATCAACCAACAAGGAAATATTACCAATAGGATTCTTTCGTTAAACGAAACTACGCTAGCGACGTAAGTACTTTTAAGACGGGTTTTGATTAGCGTGGGTTACTGGGAATATTGGCGGGGGGGGGACATACATAATCGAGAAAAGGAAGTGGTATGTTGAAAGGAGAGGTGAGTGGGGGAAGGTAGGAGTAGCTATGGACGAGACGGGTGTATGGGACTGGATTGGTGTGTTGGGACCGGAGGGGTGTATCGGGACTGAAGTGTTGAGACTGGAGGGGTGTGTTGGTACTGGGGGTCGTGTTGGGACCGGGGCTGTGTGTTGGGACTGGATACGTTTCGTTCTTTTGTTGCCCCCCCCCCCACCAATGCCTTGTGGAGGGTATTTATTATATCTCATAAACAGTTGTAGAAAGTGTGGGGCCAATACCCCAGTAATGTACTTAACCCTAACCCACTTAGTTTCATTTGTTACCCGCGCTATACTTTACTTGTAGAAATCTCCTTCAATACGTAAAGATCTAAAATATTTGCGTCTATTTTTAGACATGTCAAATGTTTTGACCACTACATAATTAAATTGTTAAAACCAAGTTATCACTAAAGACAAAATTTCTTTAAAGCTTAGAGCACGCTAAGAGAATAGTATCTCCTGACAACCTTTACAAAATTTTCAATTTTCAAAACACCCAAAACATATTTTTACTCCTCTGTAAATAACCACTGGGTCAGTATTCGGCAATAAAATCTGCACAATCTTATGCTATATGTTTATGTGTGTCAGTAGATAGTATGCTGTGTAATACGCCAACCTGCTATTATACTTTAATTATACAATATGTGGCTTATTAAATAGCATAATCTGCATTGCTCTGTATGACACGTTAAATCACAAACATTCGTATTGCTCTGAATATCATGTTACATCACATACATCTACATTGATCTTTATGGCATGTTACATCACATACATCTACATTACTTTTTATGGCATGTTACATCACATACATCTACATTGCTCTGTATGGCATGTTAAATCACATACATCTACATTGCTCTGTATGGCATGTTACTTCACATACATCTGCACTGCTTTTATGGCATGTTAAATCACATACATCTGCATTGCTCTGCATGGCATGTTAAATTACATACATCTACATTGCTCTGTATGGCATGTTACATCACATACATCTGTATCTACTCTAACGCCTGACTCCTCACTCCAACTCATCAGGTTAACTGAGTGTCTCTGCAGCCCGGCACAGAAGTCGTGCAACGTCACCTATTCCACGACCGACCATGTGGTGACCGACGTACACCTGCTCTCAGGCAACATGACGTCGTCTCCCGGCACATCACACCGGACGTGCTCGCAGGCCCGCGACACCGTCATCCAGTGCTCGCCCGCGCAACCACCCGCTTCGTACTGTCACGGCGTCGGTGTCAATCAAACCTTCCAGGTCACAAACTACACGTGCAGCGGCGAATGTGTCAGCATCGTTTGGGTCCCCGTCGGTCCCCGCAGCAACGCAACGTGGGCACCCGACACCACCACCACCATCACCACCACCACCACCACGCAGACCTGCAACCCTGGGTGTGTGGCGCCCACTACGGTGACCACAACCGCGACAAGCATTTCCTCTTCCGCCACTTCGAGTGTCAATGTCACGTTAGACGGCAGCAGTGGAGGCGATGACAGCGATGATGACACGGGTGTCATCGTGGGCGTTGTGCTGGGAATTTGTGCCGCTGCCTTCTTAGCTTTTATAATTATCGCGATGGTGTACCGAAGACGGCGAAAGGCGCAAAATACACAGGAAGGCGCCGCGAAGGCCAATCAAACTCAGTGCAGTGGTTCACAACTTCCGGATAACAACCAACAAATGTATAACTCCCTGGATCCAGAGACTTTCTCCAGCACCAACGTTGCCTACAGCTACTCCGATCCAGCCACCGAAGCGCCAAAGCCTGAAAATACAAGCGAATACTGTACAGCTTATTCGGCCAGTGGCTATCCCGATTCCAAATATTCTAATCCAGCCGAGTACGAAGATGTGGCAAGCAGTATAAATACCGATATGCTGGGATATCTTGTTTTGGATACCATGATCACTCAGACTGCTGCCACACTAAATACCAAACCTAAAATGTCGACTGTCACCGTTAAGAACGATTCCCCTGTTCTGCAAGATCACGGGGACTCACAGTCGGAAGTCGAATACGAAAATCTCCAAAGTAACCTTTACATTGATATGTCAATGCACCAACCAAAACGTGAGGAGCCTAAGCGTAGAATAGAAGACACCGAGAGCATCTGTAGCTCCAGTTCTAACGATTCAATTTATATCAACCAGGACCTATAGTAGGTCAGCTTCTCTATATGGCTCAAGTAATAACAGTTCGATCCAGTGGCAACTCTAGGATATGTTCCGCCCGGGGTGGGTCAAAATTAAGCCGCAGCTCCCCCCCCCCCCCACCACGAAAAAACCCCGGAAGTTGGCAAAAAAATGTCACACCTAAATGTAAAGTAAAAAAAATGCAGCCTGGGACTATAGTAGGCCAGCTTCCCTATATGGCTCAAGTAATAACGGTTCGATCCAGTGGCACCTCTAGGATATGTTCCGCCCGGGGTGGGTCAAAATTAAGCCGCACCCCCCCCCCCCCCCACCACGAAAAAATCCCGGCAGTTGGCCAAAAAATGTCACACCTAAATGTAAAGTAAAAAAAAATGCCGTCTGGGTAGGAACGCACCCTACGGGACCCTTAGCTGCACCACTGGTTCGCTCTACTGCAAACAGAACATGTAGCACGTCGAAATCTCTTGCTCCGGAACCAACAGTTCGATCTACATCTATCAGAATATGTACCTTGATGTTTGAGACATTTTAAGATCGAATAACTCGTGATTCATTGCACACCCTCCATTGAGTAAATTGTCATTTATTTTAACATATTTCCCAACACATTATTTTTTTGTCCCTGATTTGTATCTTCATCTTTAGCCACTCAACATCCCCCAAAAAGAAATGTGAATAACTTGTTCCTGCCACCCAGGAATTGTTATTCTTGAAAAAGGTAACCTCTTGATGCAAGATATCGAAGTTCAATCTCGCCCGTAATGATAAATGTGTCCTTTTGAAATCTCTATCAGAGGTAGCAAACCGTTTCAATCCACACATTGTTGCCAGAAAATAAATTTAAATGCATAACGAATATTCACCAAGACAACTTGATAGGAGAAACGTCTTCACTTCTTCTGTATTGAAACATACACGTTTCACTGAAGCCCTCAAGTTCGCTTCTTCTGACAGAAAATTTAAGTGTGTGGATTGGATGCATCAGCGAGCGCTACATATGTGACAGAACGTATACCACAACTTCATGGGCCAAAAAATTGCCTCTGATGGTAGAATAAATGTGTTCCTGAGAGGTCTTTGCCCTAGCAAGTTAATAATTATTGTTGCTTTTATACTTTGAAAATAACTAGAAATATCTGGTATTTAAAAATAATAAATAAATAACGTTTAAATTCATATAACAGGGAGGAATGATTTGTTGCTCATTTTGTTCTTGACACTAATCATGAAAAGGTGGGGATACTTTTGACAGAGGCACTATTTGTTACACATTGAATGAGCTAAACGGAGAACTTCATTGGCTTAAGCTATGTTTGAGATTCATTTATTTATTTGAATTGATCTGAATAAAAATGTGTGAATGTATTTTATATCATTTTTATATTTGCGCCTTTTTGAAAGATTTCTATATATTTAGCTTATAATATTTTTTTTTTTTTTAAATAGCAGTTCTGTTTTGCAATTTAACGAAACAATTAGACACTATTTTAAAGAGAGCAGTTTTTCTGAATTCAAACCCGGAGATGGAGTAGGCGGTATGACATTGACACAATTCAAATACCGACAACTCCTGCAACGTGGAACGCACAAAGAGCAAAGTGAAAAGACACAGGGAGAAAAAAAAAGACCGTTAAGAGATATAAATGATTCCTTTAAGTCAGGGTGGGGAAACCATGGATTGCGCTCCCTTAAAAAAATAAAAATAAAAAGAGGATTTTTTAAAGCTAATAGAGTGCTGATGGTGACGCTGACCCTTCTACTGGGGCCAGCTTGTTACGATAAATTCCAAAAAAGAAAAGACAAGATGCTAAAAAATCATCACATTGTAAATCCGGTCAAGGCGATCACCAAAGATCCATGGAAAATATTTAATCACATTCCTTTTCTGATACAATCACGCATTGACTGGCCACCCGGAGCTCATCTTTTCATTCCAATAATGCTTAGAACAGTAGAGTAATCATCCTCATGCTGGAAGTGTGGACATTTGATTACAGGCTAAATCTCCAGCATTTTTAACCGATCTTAATGGGGCAACTTTTAATTTTTAATTCTAAAACGTATCTATAATGTATCTGAAGGATTTTATATGCCCCTCATCTTCGCATAGTTCAAAACTTAACACCTGATGGGGGTCCCTCTTTTACTTAAATATTAAGTCAAAACTCGTTACTGGGATAACTTTTAGAGTACATTTTTTATAATTCAAATTAAAGTACTACATTGTCTAGAATTTAAAGATCAATTCTTCTTTTTTATTTGAGGGGGGGGGGGGGGGGGGGGCAATTGAAAAATTTTAAAGACAATTTCTTTAAAGGTGCAATCAGTTTGAAATGGGATAAGTTTAAACATTTAAATTTGCATATTTAACTCAAGTGTTTTTTTAAGAGAGATTAAATTCAAATTAAAGTACTACATTGTCTAGAATTTAAAGATCAATTCTTCTTTTTTATTTGAGGGGGGGGGGGTGGGGGGGGCAATTGAAAAATTTTAAAGACAATTTCTTTAAAGGTGCAATCAGTTTGAAATGGGATAAGTTTAAACATTTAAATTTGCATATTTAACTCAAGTGTTTTTTTAAGAGAGATTTTATAGAATAATCAAAAGATTACCTTATGGAACGTAACCCCAACGGGGAAAGGAATCCCAAAAACGGGACAGGATCCCTCCGGGGAACAAGTTTCCAAAGGGAACAGGATCCGATGGGAAAAGATATTCAACCGAGGTACGTCATCCCACTTTTGTTTTTTTTTCTAAGTCCAGACTTTGGTTATTGATTTACAATTTTGTCTAAAAGGACATTTTCATTGAGGCTAAGCACGAGTATTAAAAGAAACGGCATGGGCCAACATTTGTTTTTGAAAACTATCATATTAATGTCCTGTTTAGTGGGGAAAAATATTGGTTAATTAGCGACGTCTTTTGTTCGTACACGATGTTCCATTTCAATGGTAGCTGATGAGGTAGCTGAAGTTATTTTCCGAATGCAATCCCCAGCAACGCCGGGTGTATTGGCTAGTAGGTTTATATTAGTCACCAGTCAATTTGTTTTAAAATTAATTTAGTCTGTTGACGAAATTAACAGTATTACTTTAACTATACGAGAATCATGTGGAAGTTTGTAATGTTAACATGGTGACAATTTTTTCAAGCTGTATTAATTTCCAATTCCTATTATATTTATTTTCGTTGATTTCATGTGGTATGGTACCAAGTAGATTTCATTGAAGCTCTATGTGGCATAGTTCCATATAGATTTTTATTGATAATCTATGTGGTATGGTTCCAAATGGATTACATTGAAGTTCTATATGGCATAGTTCCATATCGATTTCCTTGATATTCCGTATGGTATTGACTCATTTAGAAATCATTGATATTTTGTGTGCTCATTTTAAAATTAAAATAATGTTAATTTTATTGCCATTCCTTATTTTACTGTGTTTGTTGCACGATTCACAAGTATTAAACAAATTAATTTTTATTCCTTGTTACGTTTATCTTTTAAATACATGATTCTGTTGGGTCCTGTTTGCAAGGTTACACATTAATTTATATTTGAGCTCTTTCTTGACAAGTACATGGATGAGTTTGAAAGAATTAATGTACATCAAGAATAAAACCTGGAGCTGCTGGAAATAATATTTTGTGTAAACCGCATTGAGAAAGTCGTAATTTTCTTTCAATTTTTACTGCGTTTTAACACGTCTTTGATAAACAAATGGTAATCGGCCGATTCTTTTGAGACAAAAAACAACAACACTGAATCATTTAGATTGTGTCAATAAATCAAGCTTATAACTCTTTAATCTTCAACTGAAAAACAACGAAGATACTTTGGTCGTCGCTGTACATATTATTTTATTTAATCCTTCATAATAATGTCGCTTTTGTTCGTGGCTTGCTGGGTGGTGAACTGGCGAACGTTTTTGGACGGATAATTGACCCACTTTCCGTTAACTAATCGAGCTGAAACTTGGATGACAACACATTTTTTCCTAGCTTTAGGCACATCCCACAGCATAAACCACCATCTTCCGCATTTTCTCTTCCTTTTTTTTTCCAATGAGAACATTAAGGAAAATTCCCGATAACTGCACTTATTGACATTATTTAACAAAAAATATCGCAAGTGCGTTTGGTGCGTAATATTTTCTTTTCTTTTATCTAAAGCTGTTGGTGAAATAAATCTGTTTGTCAAATAGTTTGTCAAGTTATTGATGTTTAGTTGAGGGATGAACTAGCGTTCTTCATTTGTGGATTTAATTGGTGTTTGATGTCAGGCGATGAACACACCCACAAGTTGGTAATACTGACGTTTAGTAGGCTAAGTGTTGCACCGTAGAGTAAGTTATTAATTATTTTATTAGTTGCGATAATTAATAATCCGACATTACTCAAAAAGATTGATACAAAAAAAGGGGGGGGGGTTGAGTCTCCCAAAATGGAATTAAATTAAATATAAGAAACTATAGAATTGTCCGACTTTAATTATTAATGAGTTATAATTCATAAAAGATTCAATCAATCATTTTGTCACAAATATGATTTGAAATGTTACAATGATAACGCCATAAATAAAAAAAAAAGTCTTCTTAATTTCAGTACCTTATTTTAGGAAGTAAAATTATACAGTTTCATGTTATTTAAGAACCTTATTTTAAGGAACGACCTACCTTCCGAAGAAAAAAAAAACGCCCTTCCTTTCTAAAAGAAACGAACTTCCTTAGGAGGAATGTTGTAACTTAAGTGAAATTTGTGTAATAATTTATATATATATATATCTGTATATTTTACACTCCTTTCTATTAACTTTGCTTTTGTTCCTGACTGGGTGGCTGGCTTGCTTGCAAAATCTTAGTGCCGCTCATTGACTCACGTCGTTTGAATCTCTCGAGCTGAAAATCGGCACATATACTCGTTGCAGATGACAAGACAGTCTGTCAAATTTTCAGACACGCTCCTCAAACCCAACACCAAAGAAAATAGCGTTTTCAGGTTGAAGGACATAGGATAGCACTGATACCACGAAATGAAATTACCAATAATGGCGCTAAATGAGATTCTTAAATGGTGCGTATTTTTGTTTCTGAAATAGTTGATGAAATTAAACTGCGA